ACCTGCTTGAAGGATCCGCCCTGAGGAAATGTCAGGCGGACGGAAAGTGGGACGAGCCAATTCCGAGTTGTCTTAGTGTAGAATGTCCTAGACCCAGATTGTCGAACGGATTTGTGTCCAGTTTCCGGAGGGGTTATGGCACTGTCATCAAATTTTCCTGCAAGTATAGCTACCGGCTTGAAGGGCCTTCTGAAAGGACATGCTTGGAAAATGGACAGTGGAGTGGGGAGGAGCCTCGGTGTCTGAAGCTTAGCTGCCCTCCTCCCGAGAAGGTGGTTAACAGTGAGACAACTGTTATCAACGATACAGCAATTGAGATCACCTGCAACCCAGGGTACACTCTGATTGGTTCCTCTATACGTGTTTGTAACAGGGCAGAAATATGGCGACCAGACGCCCCGATCTGTAGCACTGTCACCTGCCCGGATCTCTCTGGCATTACAGTGACCAACGGTCAGATCGAGTACACAACCAATAATTTTGGAGACGTGGTCAAGTATACTTGTGATGAAGGTTACAAAATGAAGGGTAGCGCCTTGCAGACATGTCTCCCGATTGGCGAGTGGGGCGGCGTCATCCCAACCTGTAACCCTGTCTCCTGCGGACACCCAGGAATTCTCTTCAACGGCTACTCTGACGGATGGGATTTCTCGTACAGCAGTGTTGTTGAATTTAGCTGCGATCTGGGCTTCATGCTGAAAGGACCCTCTGAGATACGTTGTCTTGCTGACGGAACGTGGGATGCTGAGCTTCCCGAATGTCAAGAAGTTGTGTGTCCAGAGCTGACGGATACGATTAAAGATGGAACCGTGGATGTGCTTGGGAACTCGTTCAACAGTGAGACGGAGTACTTTTGCAATGAGGGATTTCGGCTCATCGGGGATGATATCAGATTCTGCCAAGAAGATGGTCAATGGACAGGAACAGAGCCCACCTGTAGCAAAGTTGTGTGCCCGGAGCCGGAAACAGTGGTCAATGCGCAAATATCTGGGAGTGACTTCGATGTCGGGGGCAAGATATATTACGATTGTATTGAAGGCTATACATTAGTTGGATCTTTTGAGCGTACTTGTGAGTACGATGGAACGTGGTCCAGCAAGGCACCTGCGTGCTATCCAGTCACATGTCCAGAACCCCCCTTCATGGACTACGGAATATATAACGGGGAGTCGGGTCAATTCCAAGCAATCATCACCTACTCATGTGACGAAGGATATGAGCTAGTGGGGCCGAGGGAAAGAATGTGCCAGGCCAATGCTACATGGTCCGGAGAGGATCCTCGCTGTGTGCGCATTTCCTGTGGTAGCCCTCCCAGTATTGATTTTGCGGTAATAAACCAAAACACAAATTTTCTTTACCAGGACAAAGTGATCTACTCATGTCTTGAGGGATACTCTGCTTCAGGTTATGACACAAGTGAATGTTTGGCTAACCGAACCTGGTCATACACAGACTTCCGATGCACGGTTATCTCATGTCCGGTGATTCTTGCTTCAGATATTCCTCATGCAATATTTGATGCTTCAGGTTTCACATACAACTCTCGAGTGGGTTTCTCCTGTGAAGAAGGTTATACATTGTATGGGGAGTCGGAACTGGTTTGCACGGCCCAGGGTCGTTGGAGCGCAGAATACCCGTTTTGTCGAATAGTGCAATGTCCTAAGCTCGGGGAACTGGCTTTTGGCACTATTAACCTAGATTCTAATGACTTTGGCAGTATTGCCACATTTACCTGTGACCAGGGATATGAACTTAACGGCGCTGAGAACCTGGAATGTTTAAGTTCTGGTGCCTGGAGTAATGCGTTGCCCCTTTGTCAGCTAATCAAATGTCTGACTGTGCCGTCAGTAGAAAATGGTAGGCTGACAAATCCACAAATTGACTTTTTCTACTCGGATAAAGCAGTCTACGAATGTGACTTTGGATACAGAATGACAGGTTCGGGAACGCTAGGGTGCTTAGCCTCAGGTGAGTTTGAGTCACCTGCTCCTGAGTGTGTTCGCATCTTGTGCAAAACTCCAGTGGAGATCGACTTCGGTGTGTACGACATGTTGTCGGACTTGCAGGTAGCGTACACTTGTAACGAAGGTTTTATTTTGAATGGTCAGTCAGTCATCGACTGCGAACTGGGAGGCAAGTGGGCAGCTGTAGCACCCACGTGTATCCCAGTAGAGTGTCCAGTCCCAGGGGCTTTTATCAACGGTCGTATCGTCGGTGATGTGTTCTCTTTTGGTAACTATATCATGTACGAATGTGACCCAGGGTACATACTTAAAGGCTACCCGGTTCGTGTCTGCCAAGCAAATCGGACATGGACAGAAGTTGAGCCGAAATGTGAACCAGTGTCTTGTGGAAAACCAACAGAACCCTTCGAAAATGGAGTCATCTTGGGAGATTCCTATTTGTTCGGGGATGGTATCGAGTACTCTTGCTTTCCAGGTTTTGAGTTGAAAGGAGAAGTATTGAGACTATGTGGGTCAGATGCTCGCTGGGGCGGCAAAGTCCCGTCCTGCTCACGCCTGAGGTGTGAAGATCCTGAGCCTATCAAGTATGGAAAAATCAAGGGTAGATCTTATTTGTTCGGAGATTCAGTCACATACTCATGTGTCCGTGGTTACGAACTTGTTGGAGAAGCATTGAGAACCTGTGAAGAAACACTTACCTGGAGTGGGGCGATACCGTCCTGTGTTAGAATCAGCTGTGGCGAACCGCCTGTGCCAGACAATGGGATCCACCTTGGGAAATCATATTTGTTTGACGACATCGTCAACATTTCCTGCAACTATGGCTTTAGGTTGTCTGGTAAAGACTTCAGAAGGTGCAAAGCCAATGGAGCTTGGACTGGAGGTCAGATCTCATGCGAGACGATAGTTTGTCCTTCTGTGCCTGAAGTGGCGAACAGCAACCACAACATCACTGCTGATGTTTCCTTGACAGTAGACACGACTGTTGCCTACCGTTGTCTAGAAGGCTATGATCTAAAGGTAGATGAAGATTATCGGCTGAATGATGTTGGACTAAGAGTGTGTGAACTAACTGGACAGTGGTCAACAAATTTGATCGAATGTGTCCCAGTAAATTGTCCAGAAATTCTAAGTATCGAGTATGGATCAGTGACAGGGAAATCTTTCATTTACCAGTCTGTAGTTGACTTTTCCTGTGATAAAGGTTTTGAACTTGTGGGTCTGTCCAGCCTTGAATGTGGGGCGAAGGGACTCTGGAGTGCTGACATTCCTTTCTGCTCAGTGGTTGGCTGTCCGGAGTTGTTCCCAGAACATGGAACAAGTGTGATGTTTCCTGACGATTTCTCCACGATCGATGCTGATCGTAACGACCATTTCTTCATTTACGGAGACATTATCACGTTCGAATGCGACGATGGCTACGAGCTCCAGGGAGAACTCAAAAGTGAATGCATGGCCTCTGGGATTTGGTCAAACAGTAAAAGCTATTGTACACCAGTGTCTTGTCCTGAGCCTGTGATTGCGAACGCCCTACTTTCGAAGTCACTTCTCACCTATGGCAGCACTGTATCAGTGAGCTGTGTCACAGGTTATGATCTCATTGGTGAAAACGAACTGACTTGTGGCGCAGACAAGGCATGGGTGGAAACCTTACCTCGCTGCGAGCTGTTGGCGTGTGGCTCACCACCCTCTGTTCTGAATGCTATTGTAGTTGGCGACAACTTTAATCTGGGTGGAACCATTACCTATCAATGCAAAGCTGGGTATGATCTGGTTGGTAACAATATTCTAACGTGCGGTCTGACCAATGAATGGCTAGGCACCCTCCCCATTTGCGTAGAGGTAGATTGTAAACTCCCTCCTGTCTTTCCCTTTTCTCAAGCGACAGTTGGCAAAACAACTTACAAGAGCACGGTCAACGTGTTATGTAACCTGGGGTACATCCGGCAAGGGAACGGCACATTGGTTTGTGGGTCAGACAGGAACTGGAAGTATGACCAAGCTCTCAGATGTGTACCTATTGACTGTGGAGAACCCCCGGAGATTAAGCATGGCTCTTTCTTTGCTGATAATTCCACACTCGGTGCGGTAGCTGTCTACAGCTGTGAAATGGGATATTTTAATAACGGAGCAAGTTCATTATTCTGTGACGAATCCGGACAGTGGGTCTATGAATATCCTACATGTCTGCCAGTGGACTGTCTGCAGCCACCATCTATCCCACACGCTGACAGTACGTATGAAGAGAGCATTTTTAAATCGACAGCAATCTACATATGTGATGAAGGCTATGTGTTGCAGAATGCTGATATAAACTCTCTCATCTGTGGCGACATGGGTACGTGGGAAGGAGAGAGACCAGCATGCTCTATCATTGACTGTGGATCTCCCCCTACGAGTGACCATTCTTACTTCATTCCTGACACCGAGAGCACGTATTTGTCGGAAATAACCCATTTTTGTGAGCCGGGCTACTCCAGTGCCCTCTCTGTTAATAAGATGACATGTCAAGCATCAGGTTTTTGGGAAGGTGAGATGATCAGGTGCGAACCTTTGGAGTGCACTGATCTGCCTCCGTTAGCCAACGGTGAATATCAGTCCGATACAAGCATGACGTTTGGCTCATCTGTGTCGTATTCATGTAGCCAAGGCTTTGTCAAATCCGGCCCAGAGGCTCTTCTCTGTACAGAGACCGGTCAGTGGTCAAGCCAAAACCACGCCTGTCTACCGATAGATTGCCTTGACCCACAGCCACTGACCAATGGCAAGCCGGAGTACAGCACTACCATATACAAGTCAGAAGTGGTCTACACATGTTTGGAGGGTTATACACTACAGGGGGACACGTCGTCTCGCTGTTTGGATTCAGGTTTGTGGTCCTCTGTTAACACGCAATGTATTCCTGTAGACTGTTTCGATCCTCCGAGTCTGGGCAACGGTAATGCATTGTACAACTCCACGATCTTTGGCAGTAAAGTGAGATATCAGTGTAATAACGGTTATCAACTGTTTGGAGATGCCCAAGCTTTATGTACCTCGACAGGTTTGTGGAGTGAAGGATCGACGCGTTGTGAGTTGATTCAGTGTTCACCTCCTGTGGACATTGCCAATGGTCAGGTTATTTACTCCAGTCAGAGTCACGGCTCTGTTGCTGTTTACACTTGTCTGCCCGGTTATGAACTGGAAGGATTTCCAAGTATTATATGCAGTAACACCGGAACCTGGGAAGGAGAAATCCCAGTATGCATAGTGACCTCGTGTCAGGCCCCTCCTGAAATACAGCACGGTTCCGTCGTGTACCTGAGCTTAGAGGCTGGATCTACAGCTTCTTTTCTCTGTGACCCAGGGTACTTTTTGAATGGACCAGAATATCTGGAATGTACAAACGAAGGTCTCTGGTCGGGTGCGTACCCTACATGTGCTGAGATTTTCTGTACGGACCCTCCAGTGATTTATAACGCAGTAATCATCTCAGATACAGGACGCAGTCCAGATGATACATTAACTTACTCCTGTGTCCAAGGCTACCATTTGGCAAACGATTTTGGATCAGACATAACTTTGACCTGTAATATTGACGGGTCATGGGAAGGATTGGGCCCCCAATGTGTGCCCGTATCTTGTGATATTGCTACTCTTCCCAACATACCGCACGCTAGGTGGGAGGGCACTGGAAACACCTACGGTACCCAGGTTTTGTACTCGTGTTCTGACGGTTACGCTCTGGTAGGAGATGAATCTTTAACGTGTAACGAACTTGGCATATGGTCGTTTGATGAGCTGCCGAGATGCGAACCCAAGCCTTGTGGTCTTCCCCCAAGCTACCCCCAAGCTACATACAAGGCACCTGAGGAACTCACTTTTGGCCAAGGTTTCAGCTACGTTTGCAATCCGGGACACGACGTGCAGGGTTCGGCCTACACAGAATGTGGGGCAGACGGACAGTGGTCGCCCGTATCCTTCGTCTGTCAAGGTGAGCCTGGCACAACTATGTGCTGTAGTCTGTAAAGTAAGGTTTTAAGTCTTTGTAGAAACGTCTACGGGAAATCCGTCAACATTCAGTTTAATTTACAGCAATTTTACTAACAATATTAGTTAAAGGAATGTCTCTATTTTTTTTTCAAATTATCAGATTTATTTTTAGTAAGAGAGGAACAGTATCGATAGTTACAGCATAAAAGATGTAAATTTCTGTGATACTCTATAAATCTTTCCATCTTTACAAAATCATATGTCTAGAATTAGTTGCAAGTTTTGAACATTTTCGGTTTTAAAAAGATTTTCAACAAATTTTGAAAACAAACTTTTTTCTTTTCTGCTCTTTTCTTCTTCTTCTTCTTCTTCTTCTTCTTCTTCTTCTTCTTCTTCTTCTTCTT